CGCTCGTGAGCTCTGTTATACCGCTCTGGGCGTAGAGGCGAGTTGAAGGAGCTGTTTCGGACCGTAATCAGATCGTTTGGACGTTATTAAGGATGGATAGAGTTGTGACAACGTTCGTGTACACTTCTTGGTTATGGAGACAGAAAAAGGCTATGCTGAGATTCTGTGTTTTAAGGTGCCTGAATCTGACAGAAGTTTTTTTTTCATAACAAAGGTTAAAGAAAACTGATTGCAGATTGCATTCTGCCAAAACAAGTCTTCATTTTGTCACAATTGACCATGACACAGTTATTAAGTATACAAACTTAGGCTTCGCCGCTACAAAATTAGTTCAACCGCTTTTGACATTCCTTACAACTAATTAGACAAAAGAATTGGCTAAAAGCAAACAATAACAAAGATATTCACCAAAACGCGTTCAATATTTAGTATGCAGAATAAATTGTTGTGACAAAATTCTTAAAATATTCGACTTACTGTGAAATAACGATGAGTAGCGTTAGCATAAACATATATAATAAATAAGCGGTACTTTGGCTCCTTCATTTAATGCACTTCCACTTCTATGGAGAGTTTAGGGTAGCGAAATTTATAAAACGCTTCTACGGACCATTTCGTAGAAAACGACTCCGATACGACAGCATCGAAATACCGTTTTTACGTTTACGCTAGCGACCCACCCCGGCTTCAAACGGGTGCAATTTATTGTACATATAAACCTTCCTCTTGAATCAGTTTATCTGGTAAAATTTTAAAGATCATAGTTTTAAAGATCTAAGCATACACAGGGACAGACAGACAGCGGGACAACTCTGTTTTATACTATGTAGTGATACTGCACTCGCGATCATGGTCGCGAAACTTGAGATGGGAATAAACTATTTCTTGATTAGTAATGTTGTTTCGATTCACATCCGTATGTGTTTTTGATTATCTGCACACACACACGCACGCACGCACGCACACACTTCACAGACATTGATAAGATAACCATAACGATCACACAGCTAAGTATATATGGCACACAGTATCTATGGCAGTAAAGAAACTTCAAATTAAGAACAGCTCTACTTGGACGAATACAAGTTTTCCAGCTAGACCATGAAGGAGGCTCTACATATACATGTGTATATGTGCATATGTACATGCGTAAATTAAAAGGAGACAGTTCTTAATCATTTAAACATGCTCGCTTACAAAAGTATACGCAGAACAGTTGAGCACAGTCAGCCGCAATGCGATTAACAGCGACGCTGTCTAGAACGGGTAAACAAATTACCCGTCTCCACTGTCGCACGGGACGTCAGCTTGACGCGCGTCAAGCCGTCATCCTACTCCGTATTTATGACGTAGCGTCGCCGGCAGCCGACGCCATTTGTAAAACTCAATTACGCCCCGTCTCCACTCGCCTCGCACTCTAATAATGATAATTGATGATGAAATTTGCGAGCTTTTTGCGGAGAGATCCTTTCCGGCTATATTTCTTATTCGTTGCGCGTTTCCGCTGTGTGCTACGACACGTCATTGGGTGGATCGACTGCGTGATAAGCGACTTGTATGTCCAAATTATAATGTTGTGTTTACCTTTTGTATATGTATGTGGTGTAATTTTTATATTACTTCAGAGTGAGTTTAAATCAGGGACACTAGACAAGTGTTTATTGTTGTATTAATAATATCAAAGACATAATTACATTGCTATGAGTCTATTAATCATTACTTGGAAGTTAATCCATAGAAAGGTGAAAAAATACCGAGTCAGGAAAATCAGGACCATTACTTCACACAAAAAGTTATAAAAAAAATCCACCATCGACTTTCTTATCTATCAAAGATCTTTAAACCACCACTAAGTTTTCCAGAATTTAATTTGAAGTATTACCAATTATTTGCAGTAATGGTAAAACGATATAAATGAATTTCATGAGGGCAAAATATATTCCAAGCCAATTCAAGTCAATGGAAATAAACTTGAGTGTCTCGCGATATTTCTTCATAATACGCATACCCTGTTTAATTTGTAAATCGCTTCACGACTGATTAAAAACTCCTTTGAAATATTTACGAGGCGTTGGAAGGAAGTGCAATGAGTTTTTTATTTCTTTTGCTTTTTGACTCCCTCGGTCTTGACGCGGGGAATTATAAGAGCAAACACTTTTTTTATACAATTCAAAACGACTCCATAGTATAGGTTTTTGAATTTAAGTATTTAAGCGATCTTATGAACTGTGATTCTGGATAAAAGTTGTATATATATATTTTTTTTATTTTTTTTTAAACATTATCCTTACTTTATGATAACATTATCCTGTGTTGTAAGGACATTTTACAATCATAAATTTCACGCGGACAAACACCCAGATGCGAAACAACTATCTGTGGGCCACACAAATAGTTGTCCCGTGTGGGAATCGAACCCACGACCCCCGACGCCGAAGCCAATACCTTGGCAAATGCGCCACGGAGTCATCAAATATATATATATATATATATATTTCAGTTTTATTTAGAGTTCTAAATGTTATACTTTTGTAATACGTATGTTATGTACATGCTATTTTAGTCGTATGATGTATTAGAATAGATGTATAGACATATATCTATTTTTTGAACAATAGTGAACACTTCGAGAACGTTCTCACACGTATCTCGAGCGAGATGCATTTAACGGTAGACGTAAGGCGAAACAGGTATCGCGTCAATTTGCCCCGGACAAAATTATGAGCCGACAAGACCCGGCAAATCATCGTAATGGCCGGGAAACGGTGCCCAGGGGGGCAATAAATCTGGAGTCAAGTGGACCAAACAGTGTTATTCATGGTGATTAGGCCCCTTCACTCTTCGGAGGCGGGATTGTGAATGTATAACAGTTGATGGGTTTATATAGCCGACGCTTCATTATCTCCAATCGACTTTCGTTAGAAAACATGCGAATGATTCATTCGAACTAATATTTGTTCAAGTTCTAAGTTATTTTGTACATTCATTCGTAACAGTGCTTTGTTATTGTTCGTCATGATATATTTGAACTGTAATGATATGCCTTCCCTCACATAATTATACATAATGGTTTAAGATAAATAAACATAATAGCATAGCTAATTTTACTGGTCGAGTTAAGAGCTGTAAATTGTTGGTTGCTACAAAATACGCGAATTTTTATTACGAGCCACCTGTATTTAACCTAACACATCACCTTTTATTCAGTGTGTTTAAGGAATGTAATTCTTGAAGAGAATCGTTGGTACATCTAAGTCAGAATCAACGAGTTTTATTGAGGTTTTAGGAGATTCGGTTTAAATATAAAAAGAAAATTCTATAACGGCATTACGTGAGTTAAAATAAAGCAATTGATGCAAACCATGTTTTCTTTTTTATGTTAAAAGTTGTCAAAAGAGCAGGTGGTTCACATGTTATTAAGGTTGCATGGACGTTTTACATACATAAATTTCACGTGGACATACACCCAGATTCGAAAAAATTATCTGTCGGTCACGCAAACAGTTGTTTCGAGTGGGAATCGAACCCATGACACCCTCCGCCGATGACAATACCTTGGAAACTGCGCCACGGAGTCATCTGAATACTGCTGCCCATGCGCATCGACACACTCACCAAAACATTCACACTCACCAAACGATACGGGAAAGAATAACACTTGCACTTCACCCGTCTGTGAGGCCGTGGTACTTTTTCAGTCGCTATTTCCCGTTTGTGCAATAGTAGAAAATATTGCCATCGAAAATTTTATTTAAAAAAGCCAGTTTTAGGGTTTCGTACCTGAAAGGTAAATCGGGATCCCATTACCGCGATTCCGCTGTCTGTTAGACAGTCGAAATTTTCACAAGTACATCAAAAAATACTAAAATAACAAAATAAACAAATAGTTAAATGGGGCTGCCATACAACAGAAATGATTTTTTTTTTCGTTTTTAAAGATAATTGTACGAAACCCTTCGTGCGCGAGTCCGACTCGCGCTTCGCCGGTATTTTTCCTTCTTAATCAAGCACAAAGCAATAATTAATATTACAATAAACAATTGCATACATTGCGATTTGAACTCGGGTTGCTCGAACGCGCCCAGACACTGACAACTTCCATACCTCACCGTAATATGTAAGACTGTTTTTAAGTATGAATACAGCTATTACATAAGAATTTACACAATGGAAAACGTTATCGAAATGCAAAATGAAATATAGCTCGTCGTAAACGTCACGTGGGAAAATGAATACACTTCATATCACGTGTAACTGCTGTTGTTTCGCTGTTAAATTGGTTTTCGACGAAATAATTTGTATGACAAATGTGGCGTGAATGATTCTCAATACTAAGACATATATTCCAATATTCATATCGTAACTTGAAACGACTTGCATTTTGTAACCTGTTAGTTGTCTAGTTATTACAATTGTATTGGAAAAATAAAAAGAATGAAGTATGAAATTGGGAAACTGGACTAAGTTCCACAAATTTTGAGAGGTTTGATTTGAAACCATTTACAGCAGGAACAAAAACATGGCTGTAATTTTTGTCAAAAAACCAAAATTATTGATTGTCATTGCTACTACATGGCACTTACTCTAGTGTAATTAGTGTAATGTTATGAAAATATAAAAATATGCATTAAAAGATTAAGACATAACATTTTTTTCAACTTCTGATCCAACTTGGGATCCTATCATCAATAAATTTAAATCTCAAGACAAGATACAATTAGTACTGGCGGTTACTTAGAATTATAGTGAAACTTCTGTTAAGTTTGGCCTACTGGCCTTTAAAAAATCAATCATCGTTTCTATTTCGTAACAATATATATAGCTTTTAATTTCTATAAGATATTTATTTGGCATTAATGATAATGTAACTGTCGTATAATTTTAACGCTAAATTGTACTTTGCTGTCAAGTAAATCATTGTTAATTGATCATACGTTAAAGTTTTTATTACTCGATGAGGTAACAACTGTATTTTCTCAGGTGTAACTTCTAAAAGTACGATGAAGGACGTCTTTTCGAGGGTTCTGCGCGTATCTCCCACCAAAAAGGAGGATAATCGATCGGTGGAATCACAGGACTACGTAGCTGATGCCATCGGTACCTTTGGGCCGTGGCAGGCCGCGGTCTGCACGGCCACTGTGCTCACCAGGTTCATAGTCATGTGGAACATGACGTCCATATTTTTTCTGACGCCCGAAACCGTCTTCAAGTGCGTGGAATTCAAGAAGTCGCCAGTTGAGGAGGTTGCCAACTCGACCTGCTATGACAGCTGCTTGAAATACGCTTACAGCAATCAGGGCCTGAACACAACCCTGATCTCCGATTATGGCCTGATTTGCGAATGGCAATGGCTGGCCAGCTTCGCACAGTCCATTATGATGTTCGGTATACTGATAGGTACGATGCTGTTCGGTTGGATATCGGATAGGTAATTTTTACCTTTACGAATTACAATTACATTTTTTTTATGTAAAAAGTTGGCACACAAGTAGGTGGTTCACCTGATTACCGTCACCCATGGACATCTACAACATCTTGCAACAGGTTGCAGATGCGTTGCCAAAATATAAAAGCGGACCCCTATTACCTCAGACACCAGATAAAAAGCGAAAATATAATCCTTCCACTTCACGCCGGAATTCTCTGAGGAAGTCTTCTCCAAGTCCGGATAAGCCTGCTCATTCATGTTCTGCTACTTGGCCCCATTAAAATCAGTTAAATTGTGTCAACGAGCATACTGGGTCATTGATAGTCCATGGTCATTTAATTTTAAGTTCTGCGCGTTAGCAATTGACAGAACGGGATTCACTGGCCTTAGATAATGAATTGAGATAGATCAACTACTCGTAATAGTGTATATCAACGCATTTGTTAATAATTAATAGGTTTGTATCAGAGTTAATGGTCCACATTTGTTGCAGATTTGGACGTCGGTTAAGTTTAATCGCTTCCATAATCGTGAACGTAATGTTCATGTTAGCGACGCCGTTTTCGCCAAACTTTTGGGTATTCAGCTGTTTCCGCTTCATCACTGGAATGGCTACTGGTGGCGCCCTAACTATACCTGTTGTTTACGTTATGGAAATAATTGACAAGGATCACAGGGAGGCTGCAAGCTGTTATCTCGTCCAGCCTGACGGACTGGCTCAAGCTTCTCTGGCAGTTTTCGCATTGCTCTCTCCAACTTGGAATATTTATATCTTGGGGTACAGTGTAGCCGCAATCATCATATTAATACTGGTTCTATTCGTGCCCGAATCACCGAGGTGGTTAATATCCCATGGAAGGATTGATGAAGCCATAGACGTAATGACGAAAGCTGCTAAATGGTAATTATTTCAATTAAATATTTTAGATTACATCTAAGAAAGCTAAAGAGTTATTATGCTCTAATTCCATAGTGAATTGTATTTTGGAATTTACTGAGTTAAGGTGATTTAGAAATGCATTAACTTTACTTGTTGGTAGAATGATGAAGGTGTCATCTACATACCTCTTGTAAAACCTTGGATAAATGGGAGCTGTGCGAAGGGCCTTCTCCTCAAAGTCTTCCATAAATATGTCAGCGACAATGGGAGATACTGGGCAGCCCATTTTAAATAGGCCCAACCACTACATCAGGTTTGATAAACCACAGACCCTTGCAAAAGAACACCGATTCCTCCCAAGTATGATTCGCGAGGCTATTGAAATTAAAAAACACCCTAATTTCAATAGAGAAGAAGGTTGGGTACTACCATAAGCTTGGGATCCTGTCATCAATAAAATTAAATCTAGGCCCAAACGAACCACTACTGCTAGACAAGATACAATTAGCTCCCTCTGCATAGATCGGACACAAAATTAATAATTCAAAAACTGACGGTAGCCCGGGTTAACTATGACAATCAGACGTCTAACACCTCAGTCTGTCCCGTGACCATGAACGCTGTAAAGGGTTCGAAACGTCGGGAATTAAAATTAAAAATAAACGCGATAAATCCGTAAAATTAGTTTCATTCATAATGTGTAATCGCGTAAATACAAGAAATTATTATATTACTGACGAAGATGGAGATGACCATCACTGACTTAAATAATAGGATACCGCGTCAGAAAAATATTTACAAATATAGTCATAATATTTTTAGTGGTATATCACTGGTACATGGGTTATTTTGTTTGCAGGAATAAACTCGACACGTCAAAAATCGATGAAAGTATTAAAAAGAGTGTGGAAGAATTGAAGATACATGAGAAAGAAACTGCAGAAACGAATTATTTCGATTTATTCAAAAACAAAGATTCAGCTTTGAAAGTGACATGTGTGTTTATGTTGTGGAGTATTAGCGGAACATGTTTCTTTGGAATAAATCAATACCTGACCTTCGTCGGATCTAACTTATACGTCGCAGTCGTTGTATTAGGTTTGATACAGGTAAGATGTCCTAAGAAATATAAATGAAATAATCAGTTATATTATAAGTATCATGTCTATTAATTTTTAACGAGTAGGGATACACATTTGTACTCTTCTTTTGTCTAAGATTAAATATTAATAGAGACATTCTCTTCTTTCTTTCAGATGCCTGTCGGTGTCATAGGATGGATGATCAATAAGTTTTATGGTCGCAAAAATTCGTCAATTGGAATTTTAGTTATTACTGGAGTAGTAATGATTCTGTTAATATTCAGTGCCGACAATTATTGGGCTACCACGATCCTTGGAGTGATAGGCTTTGGTGCTATGTGTTCTATTTTTGGGGTGATCTATGTTTACGTGTCCGAACTGTTTCCGACACCTATGCGGAACATGGCTTTTGGAGCAACATCCATTGGTGCTAAGTTGGGTGCTATGGTTGCTCCATTCATAGCTACTTTGAGGCCACAGTGGGTGCCTTGTTTAGTCTTTGCTGCGATTTTATCTGTAGCCGTCGGTTTTTGTCTGCTGTTGCCGGAGACGAAAGGGCAAACTTTGAAGGACACTGTTGGTTAAATTTGGGCAATCCAAGATTCATTAATTTACGATCTTAAGAATCGACAGCCAAATGAGTTTCATAAAAGAAAACATCGTGAAACAACTCAGACTATGCGCTGTTTGGAAAACCGTTAGAAAGCGAAGGCAATTCATTTACATTGTCTAGGCACAGATTGATGAGCGTTTTAAAAAAAAAGAATTGGCCAATCAATAAAGTAATATAAATAGCATAACAAATTGTAAACAATAAAAAAAGTTTTAGCTTAATAGTTATAAATTAGAAAGTCATGTGAACATTAATAATGAGTCGGCGTATTGAGTTATTGCAAGATTAATGCGCGCATCGTGTTATATTTATCAGAGAAATTATTAGTTTCGATAAAGAAGTGCCTGGACGTGCTCAATTGATGTGACAGGGAATTTATTGAGGCTAATATTTTATTTTATTTTTGCGTCTACGCGTCCAGTGAAAATGTCGATTATTGACGCTTTGAGTTTTGTGGTTAGAAGATTTGACTTGTCCCGTTTGTTGTGTAAGGTTTTACTGTAAATCGGGAAAAGTATCAAATTAAAGTAAAATAAGACAAATAAGAAATAATTTTGGATTATTCATTTGTCTTCTTTATCCTTAATTTTATTTTTATAAGTAATATGAAATGTAATTCGAAATTATTTGGTCTTTTCTTCTCTTGTGAATTAATTAATGTCTATATATTATAATTAATTCATGTTTATCACCTTTATGTATGCACTGTAAATAATACTGAGAGAGAAAATATCAAAGAAGGCGCCATTTTGTAAAAGACACAAACAGAAGATTTTTTTAATTGCATTCGTTTAGATTGGTAATAGGTTTGAAAACGTTCCTTCTTAATTCAAAAATCATTTGACGTTCATACATGTATACGACACGATATTACTTATCTTGGGATCATAAATGATATGCAGAAGGGAATAAGGGAATTTTGCAAAGATAAATAGACCAGCTCTAATGTAGATGTGTTCTATAAGTGTGTAGGTAGGGATCAAAGAGAGAGCAAGTGCTTAGGGGAAGTAACACGGTCACACACACTAAAAAAAGATAAAGAATAACCACGGTAAAGAATAACCAGCGTGGTATGCATATACAACTACATTTTATTTGTTCGACGCTAACCTTGCGTTCCCCTTTCTCTTGAATGTTGCAAGCCCAATTGTGTTGGATATTATTGAAAGAAGGTAACTTCACTTGAGACGAACCGCTTGTTAGTTTGCTACCATATCGCATCGAGAAAGTATAGTGTTGACCGCTCGGAATTTCAAAAACTTTTTTTTTTGTGAAAAAGTGGCAAACGAGCTGGCGGTTCACCTGATGTTAAGTAATAACCGCCGTCCATAGACATTTTCAACAGCCGTAGGGTTGCAAATACATTGCCGCCTCAAAATAAAGTGGGCCCCGGCTACCTCACTCACCAGACGCAACGCAGAAGTGTAACACTTCTACTTAACGCCGGCCTTCTGTGAGGTCGTGGTAATTACTCGGACGGACCTGCCCATTCGTGCAAAAGTGAAAGCTGTTGCTTGACCCTACTACAATTTACTGTTGGGGCGTTCACGAAACAAAAACATTTTGTTTTCACAAACAGCAGCATCTTTATAAAAAGCGTAACTCTACGCCGGGAGAGCGTTCCCGAACCGCACTCGGTTTGATCCAATCCAACGGGATACTGACGCGCCGAGATCAAAGACGCCGCACCCCTCGCCGGCTGCGATCAATCCGAGATGACACCCAAATGAGGCGCGACGATTAGATCAATGAGATGGATCCGTCCGCGCATTCCCGCCGCCGCGTGCGTCCTCCGATGGGTAACAAATGGCATTGATTCGATTTATCGCTCGAAGCGACACGCCTAACGGAACTGAGCGTTCGTAAAAGCCGCGACGCTAATTTTTTAATGTGACATCTTATTTTAAGGCATGTGGTGTGACTAATTCTGTGAACTAATGAGAATGGCTTACAGAAAGCCTACAGTGACATTGATTAGTGATTTTCTGAGTTAGTGTGTAATAATTACAATGAAATTCGTTTGGAAATGTTTAAATTAAAATTGTCATGATTTTGAAGAACTGTACGTAACGTCGGGAGTTAATTAAAAACTAAAAAAAATATTTTTTTTTCGGAAAAAGAGATTTTTTACAAAAAATTACAAAATCATTTTTGTAAATATTTCGGAAAAAGAAAAAGCTTTTAAAGCTCAGTTTTACACTGCCTCTGTCTCTCTCTAGCCGGTCAAAATTACGTGAGAACTTATTCGTGAAACACAATCACGTCGTGAACAGGAAACGCATTACCTTCACCAAATAGAAACGATGAAGACAGTCGCAGTCAGAATGGAGAGGTAGGCAGGCGCCTCCTGCTACATCGCTTAATGATAATTCTTAATAAACTGCTTAATAATTCTCGTACATCCGCCGTTCGATTCCCATTAGCGGCACGTTCGGAGACAATGCGATCCCGAAGCGCGGTGAGGTCCATCAAATCTGTATCTGGACGGTGTGTGGCCGTTGTGGGTCGAGTTAAGAGCGGCAGCGGAAGAGGTAGCGGACGCCGTTTTTACATAGGAATTTATATATTTATAATAGCGGCGACCGCTATCTCGTGTAAATACGACAGAGGTCTGTCGAGTCTAGATATGAGGGTAGGTGATGGTTTTATGGTAGTGGATGGTATAGAGATGGTAATCGCATCATGTATAGTCTAAGGAATAGATATAGGTAACGCTTTAGGGATGATGGTTGAGAGACAGCAGACATATGATTTATGTAGATATTTGTTATGTGAAAATTGGCAAGTGATCAGGCGGTTCAACGCATTTCAAATGATTACCGCCGCCCATGGACGCCTTTTTTTTACGTGGGAAAAATCCTTTATGGGTAGGCGTCAGGGGAATGTGGGAGTTACAGGGTACCTACTAAAAAACCCGCGTTGCATCTGCGCTGTCGCTTTACAGGGGACACGGGAACACGAAAACGCAATCTTCCGCGCACCCCGGCGCGACTGTGGCCTTCTCAGGCCTACTCTCCCCGGGTGCTTAGACACCCGGTCCAGCCAAATGGTGCCGTGTCGTTGCAATGAGCACGGCACCCCTCTCAAGCCCTCCGCGGGGCAGCAGTTAGTCCCACATCTGCCGCCCCGGGGCTTGCTATCAGGGGGGAAGGTTGCGCGCGTAGCCAGCCTCCTGCGCCCTGGTCTCCGGCGGCGGATTTCCAGGGTGGCAGTTGCCTCACTTTCTCTCTCCGCGGCCTCCTTCTGGGTGATTATGTCCTCGCAGAATGCAAGGACGGCACCCCACGACCTCTCGCTGTCCACGCCCATGGACGCCTATACCAACTGCCATGTTGCGATACTTTAAAAAAGTATGCTCCGGTTACCTCGCTTACCAAACGAAACGCAACAGTCTTCGCTCATGCACGAATGATAGGTCCGTCCGGGGAAGTAAAACACAGAAGACTGGCGTGAAGTAGAAGTTTTATGCTTCTGCGTTACTACTGTTGAGTGAGGGAGGGGGTGCTGCCATCTTATTAAGGCAACGCATCGCAACCGTACGGGTGTTGCAAATGTCCATGGGCGCTGGTTATCTTAACATCAGGTGAACCGCCAGTTCGATTTCCACCTTCTCACATACTTACTTCAATTGGTATTCCTATATCCACTACAGTTGCAAAATTTTATCATTCAACTGAGGTCTCTCTAAAAACTAACACTCGTTCCTAAGAAAATCGATGGTGAAACACGGGCAGACAGACGGACAAGAGACTGATCTAAGGGATAAGGGTTCCTTTTTTACCGTTTGAGTTACGGAAGCCTTAAATTTAGAGGAAGATTTGAAAAATATACTTAGAACTTACTTAGTTAAATATACTTATAAAGTACAAAATTTTATTGATGTAAGAGAACTTCACCGCTTAGTTAACTAATTATCAAATTAACAATCTATACAGAAACTAACCGCAAAACGTGTAGTTAATGAACACTACGCAGTTGAGTAAATTTAATTATGGGCAATTCTGGGGCATATAACGCAATGAAACACGATATTATTCAACAATCAAGTATAGCTTATTTTTCACAGATTTATGTTCTTATTTGCAAATTAAAATATTCGGTACTAATTACAGTTACTTAGCACATTATTCAGAATCATAGCATTTTAGTAGTAATATTACTAATGCTGTTGTAAGTTCAGAAACTTTGTTACTTCTACAAATCTCCTGGCTTTAAAAATCGATAATGAATATATAACAAATAAAAAATTACATGCGTTTTTAAGAAGAAATCATTATTTGTCAGTGGCATATCACATGAAATATTTTGAAAAAGCATGAAACGTATATTATAAAGACTTTATTTACCCTGAAACAATATTTCCAAAGCACATTCTTTAGTTAATTACTCACAAGCTGTAATTAACGATAATAAAAATGCATTGCATATCAATATCAGAGACCTGAATACTAAATAACAGAGACCTCTATGATATAATAAAATAATGTGATGTGTCTAACACATATGCATGGAGATAATGCTGTATGTAATGGCGCGTACGCCAAAGTACATTCGAATATCTTTCAATTGAGAATTGATTGGCTTTTATGACTCGATTTATGGAGACGTTATCAATTATCATATTGTGTTACTATTTGGAATTAGCTATTGGTTCTATCTCTTAACTGAACAAATAAAACGTAAGTACCCATTAAACACGCCCTGCGCAGAATGAATTCTTCATTTCACTATAGATTATGTTAACAATAACTTAATTAAAAGTAATTTACATATCGACAATAGTAACTGATGTAAATCTTTAATAATTCAGTGACAACATGGATAAGGTCTAAATACTATACTTTTTACTTTGCTTTAAATATTTTAGTTTACTGATATATATTTGGTAAGTATTAAGACCATATAAAAATATAGAGATTTGGCAGCTCTGAGTTGCATGAGGCTTCAGATGTTAAGCGAAAACATCACTCGGTTGAGATAAATATGAAATAATTACAGATTCAAATGCAGAATTTGAAGAAAAAACAGGTAATATGAAACACCATGCTAAAGTAGAATTTGGATTTGAAGGAAAAGATACGAATAAGACGAGAATGTGGACTTTGACTGCGATATATATTCACTTTCGAGCGCGTGACGCGGAAAAAACTTGACGGCCCTCGTGATTCAGGGTGGCGGCTCTTGGCCGGTGGTCTGGTGCATTGGTATTCAGGACGTGGCGAGGATAGTTGTCGGTTCGCGATCAGCGGCTACGTGAGCGATCAGACAAATATTGTTTGTTAATGAGCCGCGCGGCATTGACGGACGGTTTTTGCGCGAGCACTTAATATGTGCCTGAGGGATTTCGGATTAAGATAGATCAGGAATTGCATCTGGGATATCTTTGGCTTTTTCCATCCAAACATAAGCGGAGGCTGAACGATTGACAGCAGGTTTTCAGTACGCTTCAGATAAATGATGTTTTTGCTTTCTAATATGTATAATACATATTATGATCAGAAAGAAAAAACATTAAGTATGTCTTTCGCAACGCGTGGACGTTAAAATTTACGGTACCCTCCGAAAATATTCGTATCTATAAAATAAAATCTTTAAAATGTTTTTTTTTGCGACGGTAATATTTATTTATCCGTTAACGGTTCTACTTAATGACGTATAACATACATTTTACACTTACATTTAAAAACGTATTGACAGTAAAACAGAGAATTAACGCCATAAAACGAAACTACGTTTCCTTTACTAGATCTCCTAGATAGTATCTTGTAAATTGCTAGAATAATAATTTGCTAGAAGAGATGAAACCGAAAAAGGTAAACAGGGTAAGACTGACTGATACATTTAATTATAGGAACAGGCAATGACCAGGTCTTAGCAATCAATGCTCCAACTCTGGAATACACAAATAGGCCCATATAATTCTTAGACAGGGACAAGCTTGCATCCCCTGGGACCAAATCGAATGTCGCTTGAGTAAACCGTGCCGGCCATACGTTGTTACGCAATCCCCACAAACTTTCCCGACCCCGCTCAGATAATCGAACAGTTAACATTCGGGCCGCCTCAGCCGGGCTCGATAATCGCGTGGAGAGTCGTTCGGCTGACGCTCTGTGAATTTTTACGACCGACCTCCGAGACAGTGGACTGTTGACGCCTCAATTGTCCGACGGCAGTTTAACGATCTTTCGCCAGGGTAGCTCGGAAATCATGACCGAACGATTTTGATAGTTTTGTCATAATCGGGCCGTGCCGTCTCAGTTCCAAGTTGTTATATCTGCTTACGATTCCATTGCTAGGATCAAAAAATTATCTATTTATTCTCCCTCTAATTCAAAGTTATTATGATCTCAAACCTAGCTTTTCATTTGTTTCCTATGTGGCTTATTCCACAAAGAGAGGTCAAGCAATGGGTTTATTGAAATTAGATCTAAGCCAGTCTTGGACCATTCAAACCGCGAGACCTATAGGCATAGCCTGTTCCTTTATTGCGAATACGATCTGCAACTACATGTAACCCCAAAGTAGGAGATTGTTGCATGGCTGATGGCTCGTCAATAGAATAATAAGAGAAACACACCACAAAAGAAAGGAGGACAACAACAAGTCCATATTATGATGCCAACTTTACGGTTCGGTATTACAATAATTCGATACATCTGCACGAACGGTGACGGCTCAAAACCATAATACTCCGCCTAATGGCGTCGCAGCTCCCCTCGCGAGGTCTATAATTAAACAAAACAATAATAAAACGGCGGGAACGATTCCGAAAGTAAACATTCGTGCTGTAAATTAACGTTTTAGGTGGCAATAAAATAAATTATCCAGAAACGGATTGACGTATTTGTTGCCTATAAAACAGTTGTCAGTGCCAGCACCCCGCGCCTCGTCCACGCACGGGGGGCGTCTGATTTACGTCGGGCGTTCGACTGAAATTGTCTCTTGGGTGGCTCCTTCGGGGTGCTGCACAGTCGCTTTGGTGTTTCCACCGGCGCCCGTGCTATAAATAAACGTCTCTGGATTGCCTCGGTTTAGTAGTTTGTGATGTTGAAGCGGCGTATTAATAAAATTGATGGACAAGCGGGAATAGAGTGGAGGCATGCGCAAGACTATTTTTTAATTTGGTAAGAGAGGAAAAAGAGAGTGGCTGCTAAACGAATACTCTGACGGAATTAAAATTAACACTCATTTAGTCGACATTTACTGTATTAATGGTTTTTTAAAAACGATTACTATACATTGACTCAACAACACATACAAAGCATGCAGTAATAAGAACATTAATTGTAAATACAAGTATGATAGACATATATAATAATATCTAACAGTAATAGTTTAACTTATACTTTTTTTATTTGTCACTTAATCTTAAATAGTGATTATGATTTTGTCTTTGGTGATAATAATAATGGTTCAATAAACTTTAAGTTTATCTAAAGAAGCTGGAATGAAAAATGTGTAAAAATATTTTGACACGAGTTTCAGGTTATTAATATGTTTAAATTTTATGGCGATAAATGATGGATTGTTTTCCAAGGGGGGTTGACATCAGGCAGCCGGCCGGTCGTATAAAACATAGCTAAAACCGCTTACAACATGATTCACATGTGGTGCCGAACCCAACTAGGTGAGATACGGGCAGAAGATGATGAAGATGAGTAAACGCAGTTTAAATCCCAGTGTCATGCCATAAACTACGAACACATCTATAAATATACTTTCAATGTCATCTGATGAGTGGCGATGGGTAGTGCCAGTGATCCTTCTCTACTCCGTTTCAGTTGAGAGACGAGTTTATTTTTTCCACTGCCTCGATTTGATTCATCGTCGACCGCGGACGTGTACGGGGCCGTTGTTAGATGTAATCCGACGCGGAATTGGAGCGGCCCGGTATATAATGCGGCAGTTAATGCTGCATTCACGAGATTTTACACCCGATGTGAGCGACACGCGCAACTGCTTAACGCCCAGCGTACATTGATAGGCGACGCGGGTCGGCTTAGAAAATGTTGTATAATAATAATAATAATAATAAATAATAAATATTTTAGGACACATTTTTACACAACATTTTCTAGTCCGAAACTAAGCAACGCTTGTACTATGAGTACTAGAAAACTGATGAACATACTTCTCTTTTGTAAATAAATACATATTATAGATATATAATCACCCAGACACTAGAAAAACACTATGTTCATCACACAATATTTTTCCAGTAGTGTGGTTCGAACCCACACCTTCCGGCGCAGGAGGCAGGTACACTACCCACTATGCTCTATTCGGGTCGTCTGCAATAAATACATATG